CCGCGCTCGCGCCGCTCTGCCCCCTAACGGCCGGCGCAGGAACGGGAGGGAGCCGCGGGCAGCAGGCAGGAGGTGCAGGAGGTGATGTTCCCGAAGCAGTTCAGCCCTTCTCCTCCTGCTTTTCTCCCCTCCTCCTTTCCACTTTTAAGGCACCCCTTTTCCCTCCTTTTCAGATGTTCGCTTTATACTAATTGCGGAGTTTTATTACTGTCTTCACCTTGACATGACAGGCCTGCTAGGCATCACATGCATTTTTGACAAGCCTTTGTTCAAAATAAAAATGCCAGTGCGGCAATTTACTTTCTAAAACAGGATAGAAATGACACCAGACTCCTCCTTTTCTTTAAAAGGCCATGAAAAAGCTCTGGCCTTAGTTAAGCAGCACTCAAGGGTACAAGCTTACTCCTGGCAGTGAGGTGAGAAATGTAATACAGCAAATTAAGAGCATGCTTCACCAAAACATCAATGTCACCACCACCCAGGCTTTCCTTATACAGCTCTTCATCATTCCCAGAGAAAGAAAGGCTGAAAAGATAATAAGCAGAGATGGGCACAAAGCACAGACAGGCTGGCTTTCTGTATTTTTAATAACTAGTTTTTTTTTTTTTTTTTTAAACACTCTTCTCATTCTGGAAGTGTTGGACTCTCCTAGCTACCATTAAGCTTCACTCCTCCCCCTGTATTTCAATGACAGAAGTACCCCTGCCAAAATCCTCTGCTCTGAAGCAAAGCACAACTCATTGGTTCTAGCCCATGCAAGCTATCATCCATCATCTCCCAGAGAACTGCTAAAAAGCATGATAAAAAGTGGTTAACACTATAGGGAGAAAAAAAAAATCTCTTATTTTTCATTACAACATTGTGGGGGAAAAAAAACCCATTAATCTCTGGAGAGGCATTGATAAATTATGCTGAATATTCAAAGTGGTTCCAGGAGCATGAACAGATGCAATATTTGCTTCTATCCATCATAAGCGTATCTTTTATTCCGGGTATCTACTTCCCACAGCAGGATCATGCAAAAAAAATATTCTCAACACAGTTCTTTGTGATGAGCCATTACAGAACTCTACACACACAGACTAACTGAAAGAAACCAAAAGACAGGAGCAGCAAATACTTTCTCTTCATGTCCTGTATATTTCAAGAGAAATGGAAACGGTTAGCTTGGGAGATGGGCTCTACGTGATGTTGTACCAAAGCTCAGTCTCAAACACACACAAATGCCCTCAGATTTATGTCCTTCGACCTCTCTTCTCACAGGAAATAAATCATTGCCCCAAGAACTCCCAAGAATACAACTGGTGGTAGAGAGGACCAAAGAGTCACTTGTGGAGGGACAGCCTTCTTTCCAGTTGTCTTCCTTCAAAATAACCTAAAGCCTCTCTGCTCTTATTTGTCCTGCACAGAGAGTTTCTGGTCTACAGAAAGATGAGGATGTGCTCTCATCCCTGACATTAAGGCAAACTTAAAATAAATGGAAGCAAAACCCACGAAGAGCAATTGTCTGGAACTACAGAAATATATTTGTACAGGTTTAAGGAACAGCCTAGTGGAATAGTCAATACAGTTAAATTCTTTAACCCAAACAGCACACAGAATATATTTCATTGTTAAAACTAGATTTATGAAAACAGATGTTCAATAATAGCAGGCACTTCTGTGTTTCAAAGCCATAACAAAACACCAGAAAAGTACAGAATATGGTATTTCTAAAGTAATTATTTTAATGAATTAACACTCAAGAGGTTTTCACTTTAATGCATTTAATAATTGCTCTACAAAGTGAAGGAAGGCATTTTTAAGTCCAAAATTGAGGACTCCTAGGTGCAGAAGGGAACTCACAAGGCAGACTAGTCATTTTCCACATTAGTACTGAAGAAAATGTTTTGGGAAAGATTTCTATTTAGGAACTATATACATTTCTATTGCACCCAAAGGGCCAAAATGAGCAGTTGCTATTTAAAATAGTCACAGAATAAACATATTTCACTGTAACATGTAGTTTTATAACTGGAGCACAGCATCTATTACTTTCCCATCAGTTCATGCCCAATGTACTCCATGCAGCTGTTAAAAAAAAAAAAAAAAAAAAAAAAAAGGCTAAAAAGGCTATTAGAGAGTTTTAATCTCCATTTTACTACTTTTTTTTTTAAAAAAAAAAGGAAAAAAGAAAAAAGAACAGTTTGTGCCAGCTGTAAGTTCTAGTCAATTAAAAATAGCTTAGAAAACTTTGGGCCTGCCATAGTAGGAAAAAGGGCTAACTAGCAACAAGTCGAAGAATCTGGTTCCGTAAGTACGTGCACAGTTGGTTCATCAAGTCTCTGTTCTGCCCTTCAACCCAGTGCATTTCTACTAATACATCATTGCCTTCTTTCTTCACATTCATCAAACACTTAAAGAGAAAGCATCTACCAGTTTCTTTGGGGTTTTGTCCTTTTTCAGTTGTGAGATTGCTAGCTTCCTCAGAAGGCTCAGGTTCCTCCTTCACATTACTGGAACCTTTACTAAGTGACCCTTCTGCCTGGTTTGCTTCTATGTCCTCCTCCTGCTCCGCATACTCGCTGGGTTCTTCTTTGGCAGCAGATTCTTCCATTAGCTCATCACCTGTGGTCAAGTGGACCTCCTCATCAGGCACCGTGAATCCCATTTCAGAGTCCTCAGGCTTGTTTTTTTCACAGTCTGGACTGCTGCTACGGTTTTTCTGGCTGTTCATCTCTTCCATTGCTTGCAGAACATCTTCAGAAGCTCGTGGAAGTTCTCGTAACTGCCTTATTCTCTCTCGTTTCTTTCGCCTCAGATGAACCCAGGAGTTTTCGATTGCAGTCAGAAACAGGCTAACTTCATGTTTTCCACAAGGAACACGCTTATGTTGAACCTATTGCAGAAGAGAGCAGAACTTCATACTATTCATTCATTGCAAGGTTTAACTAGGAGTATTTTAACATATAATCCTTAACACTGTACCTTCAGATCATCAAGAATCTTCTCTACCCAGGCTCTAACCACAGCAATGGCTTCCACAGCATCCCAGCCAATAGCTGTAGCTTTGACAGATAACTCTTTGACTGTAGAAGCTAGGACCATGAACGTAATCGGTTTTCGGGGTTTTTCTAGTTTTCTTCTTTTAGAGGGAGGTGACTAGAATAAGCAACAAAAATAGAATACCACCAGGAAGTTAAAATGCTATGCAGTATTACTTCACAATATTACTATTACTACATGTACCTTTATACTCAGAACACATATGGAATAAGAGTATAAAAAGTACAGTAAATATTTTCTGATACAGTCCATGTTTCACTTCACCCTAAAGAGTTATTTTAAGAAGCATAACACAAGAGCATGCATTTTGTGCTATCCTGATGGACACAGGGAGACTTCAGCTTCAGGTATTAGTCAGAAAGCTCGTTCAGTTCCTTCAAATTAGTAGCTCTCTTTAAGCTAAGAAAGTGTGGTTGCCTTTGGGACTTGGAGATCAAGTTCTAATATCCTAAATTTTGACCCAACTTCAATGAAGTTTAACTCTTCCACAAAGTTGGTTATTGCATATACCTATATTACAATATGTACCTATATTACAGTATATGTACATCTGAATCCAAAAAAGCAACTGGCTAAACTAAGTTAGGATGAAAAAGCTTCACCATGTAGGAAAATGTAAAGGAGCAATACATGTTCACATCTATTTAGTAACAGAATTTATATGATAAAGTAAACCAAACTCTCTCTTAAACTTTAAATCTAATCCAAAATTGAGAGATTTAATATTAATGTAAAAAAATATGCTACTTGAAGTATACCAGATAGTATCCTGCAACCCACAGAAAGTCTCTACAGGATTATCTTTTTATTCTTAATCATAGATCACACATGATTCACAAGTAACAACTGCTAATGGAATGAGATCCAAGGAAGAAATTCCAGGCAGTCCAGCCCATCCGACATGCCATACTGAAGGAGCAGAGTTTATTTTATTACAGGTCATTAGACACTTCCTCAAATACGAGGCACAGACAATCACAAGCAAACTGAAATGAAGCTACTCACAGGTACTTGTACATCTTCATAGAAACTCCATGCCAGTGCCCACCTCATGGTACGCCCTTGACAGAATTCAGTATGGGTAACTTTAGGCACCTATGTAAAGAAGCAAACCAAGTTTTTTATCATATTAATAAATAACTTGCTGTTCTACTTCACATATTTCCTCCTGACAGGAACAGCAATTCTTTCTAATGTAGCTCACAAGTGACAGCGCCAGCTGAAGCTGGTCAGTGCCAAGCCTGGCACCAGAGATCGGCATTTCTCATCTCTGCACAACCATTTCTAAGTCCCCTGGGAGCTCCAAGTTAGCAACACTCAATTTTGCCTTTTTCAAGCAATGACCCAACACCACCTACAGAACATGTCCATATTCTGAGTTGCAAAAAGCACCTCCTTTCCTCCTTATTCACATAATGCGTCCTGCTCCACATTTGAATGCTTAGCCCACTGCTCTAGCATAAAAACCGAATGAAGACAGTGGCAGGGGCCTGGAAACCAAACCACTCATCCATCACCAAAGGTATGGGCTACTTTCATACTCGGCCTTATCACTTAGTCCCTCCGACAGACTTTTATGTACCACCAATAACATTCATTAACGAAACACAGAAAAAAAAAAGAGACAAAGCAAAGAGTGTTTTGAGTCACTCTCACAATGGCACAAATAAACCCCCCTGGAGGCCTTCAAGCATTACGAAATATCCTACTGCAGTTCCCAAGTCAAATTACTCTAGTCAGCTATTCTTAGCCTTAAACTCAGTGAGATTTAACAGCGAAGGCTGATGAAGACTATGCAGATAAACCCAAATGTCAAGCAGCCAATTACCAGTTCTGGAGAAAATCTGAAGTGCTTATCCAAACAACTCTGCATTACGGTATTTTCAAAAACTCTGCTTTAGGGAAAGGTACAAGATATTTTAATGGAGTATTTCCTTTTTCTTCTGCAAAATACTTATTTTCATAATAGGTGTCAGTATTCATTTAAACAGCAATAATCAATACACTTCAGAGGCTAGGTGGCATTGCCAAACATGGTATGAGAGATTTCATGAAGATAAGTGATTTTTAGCTACCTCCATTTTACAGATTAGAAAGTGAAAGTAAAAGGAACTTTGCTAATGTCACCCAAGAAGCCTGTAACAGCTGGAAAACAGATTCAGCCCACCTTCCCCTCCCTAGACCCAAGCCTTTTAATTGCGAGGCACCCAGTCACTCCCAGAAGTAACAACAAAAGTTACACTTCCACTTCAAAACTCTTCTCTTGGTATACTTCTTCCCTTGCTCCATGCAACAATATTTCCAGCTTCTCTCACATTGCTTTGCTGTTCTCTCAAACTGTATTGCCACTGGGGTAAGAAGTTTCCTCTTGCCACCTTTCTGCTACTACAAACATCATGCTTTCCAGAGCAATCTGGGCTTCACAGTGCCAGCCTTCTGCACGTTTTTAGTCAGGCCACCATCTCTAAGCCAGCTCCATAATGCCACCCATTGGGTTTCCCCAACACAATCTCACTTTCTCTCCAAAGCTCCCCAATGCCTACAATTTTCTCCCAAGCATAGAAAATATGCAACTTTACTGTTAATTGCCTCATATACTCCAATTACGCCTCCCTAAATAAAGATGACTGATAGAAGCAGCTTGCAATAACATGCTCGCACACATAGAATCATAGAATCCTTAAGGTTGGAAGGAACCTCTAGAGATGATCTAGTCCAACCCCCTTGCACACACAGGGTCACCTAGAGCACGTGGCACAGGACTGCATCCAAGCGGGTTTTGAAGATCTCCAGAGAAGGAGACTCCACAACCTCTCTGGGCAGCCTGTTCCAGTGCTCTGTCACCCTCACTGTTAAGAAACCACTGCCACCAGTGAAAAGAGACCATCACCGTCCTCTGCACTCCCTCCCTTGAGGTATTTATATACACTGATTAGATCCCCTCTCAGCCTTCTCTTCTCCAGGCTGAACCGGCCCATATTTATACTAGGGCATAAGAGTGCAAGAATACTAAAGAAAGTCAAGTACTTCAAATTATGTCTAGCTCAGCATCTGCTCTCGTCATCAAGTTTAGAGATTTTTACTCTGGGCTACAGTTCAGATTTCAGGGAATTAATTTCATCATCCATTCTCCTCCCTTCCACTCTCCACAATATGCAATGACAGATCTCAATCATTTTATTTGTGAGCAAATCATAGAAGATCTAGGCATCTTTGGGAATGCCAAAGTAAGTGCTTTGCATAACCTTCTCGCATCAGAAGAGATCAGTGGCACATGGTTCCAGAGTTTACTTGATGCCAGAGTTGAGTACAAAGAAAACAACAACATGAATATTAATATGCAGTTAATATAGTTAATACTGTGTGTATTTGTTGACAAATGTATCCCAACATCCAAAAGGCAATTCAAATGAGAAAAAGCTCAGTTGCAAAATCTGGGTCAGAGCAAGACAGGAAATGATGAATGAGGAGGATATAGTACTGGCTCAGACAACAAGCCAGGAAGAAGTCAAAGGTCCTAATAAAGTTTGCAACATACAAGAGACAAAACATAGCAGATCTATTTCTTTAAGTTAAGCTCAACTTCTTCGGTGTCCTTGCCTTTCTTCTTCCAATCCTGCCCCCCGCAAACATTACTAGCTTCTACTGCTAGTTAATTAGAAGAGTAATAGTAAAAGAAATTGTAACTTTTTCATTTTTTTTTTTAATCAATCAACTGGTTAGATTTCATGTCAGCTAAGAGCAAGCTAGAAAATGTTTACAAAGGACTCATTAGGCTATTTCAAAACAGAAGTCCCTGTATATTCTAAAAAGGATGAAGGCATGATTCTAAGTATCATAATGACAAAAAAAAAATCATGATATGGCATTACTTATACATCAGCTTTGGAACTTCAATAATTAAAAACAGCTGCTTTGAGTACTTCCCTAGCAAAGAATCATAGTTTCTTCTTGTAAATAATAATGCAGATAGCACGTGTTCTGGATTAAAGGATGTACTGCATTAAGAGGGTACAGGATACGCATGGAGTATATACAAACTTACCCCCTGGATCCGAAGTTCCTCTTTCAATGGTGCTAAACTGCATTTCTTCCCCAGCATGCAACTGTACCATCTGCAGACAGTATATTAACAAAATGTTTTACAAACACAGATAATTTGAAAACAGTAACTTCCAGAAATAACTACTTTGATCAGAAATCTGCAAGTGCAGTAAGCAATTTAAAACCTGGATACAAAAAGGATTATCTGCAAGTATAATGTACTAAAGAATGAAAGTTAGAGTCCCCATGTTATGGACAGTTTCCTCAACACTTACCGTGAATCTTCACACACACCTTAAACTGATCACATTTATATGCTAAAGAGGATCAGCTTTCACAGCCTACAGTAAACTAAAAAGTTAAGATCACCGGATATCAAGAAACAATCATTTAATCTAATTTCCTGCATAATGCAGCATACAGAGTTTGCCTAACTATGCAGCAATATTTATGTTAAATCCCCAAATTTCTGACAAAAAAAAATATACCTTTCCCAAAATTACAAAATTACTACAATTCCTAGCTGAAGGGGCAGGGGAAGGGAAGGATTCACCAATATTTGTTGGCCAAAGGAAGTTTCAACCTGCTATCCTAGTTCATTGCTTTAGTCCCTCAGTAGAGTTGTCAGACCTCATCACTAACAAAATTGGGAGCCACCACAGTGTTTTAGGCTACTCTTCCTATAACAGAGTCTCCAAATCAGTTTATTCAAAAACATAAACCAAATCACTCCTGCCTACATATCAACCTTATTTTTCCCAAATATGATACAGTTAGCACTCGGGCATATCCTATACTTTGTGCTATTGATTTTTCAGATCAAGAGACACCCTTTGCGATCCCTGTGGAGTGGTGTTGCCAGAAGCAGTGCAGGAACTCAATTACCTTAATTTCACATTTTCAAGGCAGACTTCCTGCCTGAAAGAGTAACATCAGGCTGCTCTCCATCACACTTGCCACTTGGGTTCCTTCCAAGGCATTCAAACAGTGATTTATTAATAGCACGTTTCTCCTGAATCTACACACATCAAATGGGACCAGTAACAGAGTAACCACTTAAAAATCATCCCCGTCTTCAACAAACACTTGTTAGTTTAGCTGTAAACTGCAGGGGTCAAGTGCACCGGCTTTAAGCCCTTTGCCCTTAAACACCTGTAAACGACAATGGGTGCAGTTTGCTTGACACTCAAAAAGAATTATTTTTACATAATCTGAGAATAAATGTGTAACATCACACAAAGTCAATGGGTACTGCTGGACCACAGCTACATTCCTAACTAAAAATATCACTGGTCACATGATTTCAGGCAAACCAGCAGAAAAAAGTTCATTTAACTCGAATGAATCACTTACCGTAACCTCTTTTTAAGTTGGAGACTATCATGGATAATTCTTTTGACAAATTCTAGTTCTCCCCCCTCAGCCATGATTTCCGTGATCCCTCCTGTGTTTACAGAACTGGGAGGAGGTCGCCGTGGATTTCGAGAATTTACTCCCTGGACATAAAAAGAGTGTTCGAGAAACATTTCATTGAATGTTGAGCTTCTTTACACGCTGCTTGCTACTTTGATCTTCAGTGGGTAGCAAATGTCAAAACCTTTAAGTGTCTTCCACCCATCACAAACCCAGACAATGGACAGATATACATTAAAATATGGGTAACAGCTAGCTGATACTAACTTCTATCCACACTGTTGTGCCCAACTTCATGCTTGAAAGGGAGTCATTCTGCCAGACAAACTTTTCCCTTTGCTGTAACAAATACGATCCATGTCTAAGCCTCCCAGCATTAATCATACAAATGAATAATATCCGAGGAAATTCCCTACAACCTCAAACATAGATAAGATACATATCAATATCATGATAACATGCAGTATATGGTTCCACTACATTTAAGGCATGCTGATAAATAACACAACCTCAGCAATATGAGGCAGTATAAAAGATTTAAGTATTTGACTGCATTTACTAGGTACTACAGAACAGTTTGGACCTGTATGGTATTGCCTAAATCACTAAGGAAACAAAAAACTGTAGAGGCATGATTCCAGAAACTCATTCCTCTCACCATAATCAACTGACACTTGATTTTACACTGTGAGTAGCCATCTACTTTCCAAACTAATTCTCTAAGATAGAAAGAATTTGTGGGCAAAAAAAAAAAAAAAAAAAAAAAAAAAAAAAAAAACCACACCCACACACACACACACAATCTACAGGTCAGCCTTCACTTCTGAAAGGATAACTGTTTTTCATCAGTGTGGGAGAAACTAACTTTAATGCTATTTCATAATAATTTGGGATTATCCATTGAACTTTTCACCAGTGAAAAGGCTTACCTATTGATGCATGCCCACTCACTAAACAAGTTCACACGGCATTCAGTTTGTCAGCTTACCTTTGCTTCCAACTGGTTGGCAAAAAAGGGAGGGTTGCACATACAAAAATCATAAACAATCTCAGATTCTTCTTTCAGTGCATCCATTAGAAGAGTCTTCTGTGGTACCTTCACCACTAGCAGCAAATATGAAGTTTAGTCAGTAAAGAGCTTTACAATTTAGCAAGTGTGCCATAGTTGTTTCAGTGCTTTGTTTTTGAGACAATATATTCTACAAAAACTCTATTTTCTAAGCAATATATTTTACATAAACTTAAGGATTAACCTACAAACAGATGTGTGTGTGTGTGTGTATATATATATATACACGACCTGATTCTAGATTAATATATACATATGGTAGCAAAATTAAATGAGGCAGTTTAAAACAATATTAACTACTCCAGCTATCCCGATGCAAGTACAGAACAAAAATACAAGCATCAATTAATCATCACACAGGCTAGTCAAGAGATAAAAACAACAACAACAAAAAAAACACCTCTAAATAAAAATACTTTTTAGATACAGAATTCTGGAGTTATTATATCATAAAATTGTAGTCTTTGGACTTTAGTCTTGAGTGCAAAACTAAGACTGAGAAATACTTTAATATAAAGCTGTCTTGACAATTTACCCAACATGAGGATTAACTTTAAATCTAACCTTAAAATAAAACAGCATTACTGCAGCAGTATTTAGCAGCACTGCGTACTTTTATACAATTTATAAGAAACACATGGAAAGAGGAAAGACAAGAGTTCCTTTCCCTGAAAACCTTCTGCTTACTAGGGTTCAAAAATTATTAATTAGGGACCAGCCTCAAGAATTATGGCCAGTGTCCCATGGTTTCCCATCAGGCTACTTAATTTCCTTGAAAACTGGATTTTTTTCTTAGAGCCATCAAACATATTTCTGCAGACCAGGGGGACTCTAGTCCAAGAAATGGGAAATTAAATAGGAAAGAAGGTACATTCCATACTTATGGAAAACGCATTTAGTTCAAAGATCTAAAGAGACCAATATAAGCAGGACTTCTTGTAGACCTAATCAGTGCTGCAACATACAGATAGGTGCCCAGGACCAATATATTCAGAAGGAAGCCAGAGAGCTTATTTGCACTCCTCCTCCCCCAACATTTATTACTACAGTTTATTATGTTGCTAAAACATACGTTGTTAGTGCAGCAAGCAATTCCCAGTGTTCCGGTTATATTATCCGACAAGAATGATAGCTAGAATATCCACCAACTTTAAATCTGTAGCACTGAAAGTCACAACTATGTCACTTCCAGGGACTGCAGGGACCATCTGTGGTAGGTCCTTGCCCAAGACTCTGCCCAACTGCAACTGGTCATTTACTTCAGCTCATCACCTTAGGCACTGCAACATCACTATACACATTTTAATTTGCCAGAGGTTTTCCCAGGAAAGTCAGTCTCCACACCAGTAAGAAATAGGTGATTGTAACAGTAACAGATAACAGACACTGTCTGAACACTGTAACCATTCCCCGTGTCAGGCTTTGGATCTTGACTATTGATGTAGAGGACAGATCAAGAGAAAAATTTTAGTTGAAGGGATACTGTCAAAATCCAGAAGAACTGGATTTCGTTTGTATTTCAGGACTGAGTGATGCGCATGCTTTATACACCTCAGTATCTCCAAAGAAATTCTCCAAGCCTATCCATGGAGCAAGTCTGGCATTTAGCAGCTGTCAAATGAACCCTTAAGACTTAATTCAGAACCAAAGACTAAATATTTCAACTGCGTGGCAGTATCACTTAAATTATCCAGGAGGAGCAATTCATACGTCTTGGTAGCAGAAAGAACATGAACTCCAAGAACCACATCAGCCACAGACAAAGAATATGAGGGGAAAAAAATGCCCAGAATGAAGCTGAACTTTCACATTTTTATATGGCTGGTTCTTTAATTACACATTCCATTCCAGACAAGCTGTGCCTTTCTGGCTTAAGCATGTGTGGGCCTTACTAAGCACTCTGCTTCAGTAAAATCAAAGCAGCGTGTCTCTGGCAGGAACACCAATTCTGATTCCCCACTGAACAAGGCAAAAGTGTCACAGCATCCATAGGCTACTAAATATAACATCAAACCTTTTATAAGATCAGACAACTTATTCTGTTCCACATTCTTCTTGGCATAATTGAAGCACATATCATCTACTTCTGTTGCGAGAAAGTACCAGCCATTCAAAGTTGCTCCAAGTAATGGGTATATGCACGATGCTCCCGTCCCTGCAGGGAAAAAAAAAAGTCATAGAAAAAGGCAAAATAAGTCACTGGTGTTATGCAGAATGTTAATTAGATACTGTTTACAACAAACAATAAATTTCAAGAAAACACCGATTATAAACTGCTTGCTATTTTTTTTTTCTTATTAGTATAAATTATTTCCAGGCAGGATAAAAATGTTCTATCTACTAAATGACCGATTATTTGTTGTCTCTTCTATAGGAGAGTGATTAATTTATATAGTGAAGGCTAAATATATTCTGATTTTCTAAACAAAAAAAGATGGCTGTTAACAAATACACTTTCTGCATTCTTCTACTGCAGATAATTTTACTTTGCTTGTATACAGCAATCATTTAAAAAAAAAAAAGGGGGAATATCTGTAACATCAAACTTTGTTCTCTAATTCACGAAACAGTCAGAAATCAGGGGTGCCAGTTACGCTATTTAAAAAGAGTTTGACAAATACAAACTTAGTCACAAAAAGAAACATATACTAGCATAAAGTGACGACATTTTACAATTATAGCACATCTAGGTAATCCAATTACAACTATCAGAATTAATGAAAACAGATACAAGGAAAAAATAACTCTAATTTTCTGGTGGTAAGGTAAGAGACTTATCAAGAGTCTTCATAAGAATCATATACTTTCTTACATGGCAGACAAGCTTACTGTACTTATTAAGATACAAAAAAAAAAAAAAAAAAAAGGGCTGTAATTCTGTATGCTTTTGCTTACTTAACTCCAGCACGGCTGTTATGTTGCTCTTGGATGACTTACTGTTTTTCCAGAATTTGGATTTTCAAAGCTCACAGCAAACTCTAACTTCAGATTCCTCAACAGTTGGGGGACATATAGGATCTGTTTCCTGTACCTAACCACCTATGGTGATCAAATTCATAGAAATTGTTTTTGAAAAAGCTTTCTAACAGCAGAAGTGTAAAAGCTCTCTAACAAGTTCAAAAGCTATCAGAGGAAAGCAGATGTGTCCACACTGGCGGTTGATACAAGTGTCATCTCTGGTGAAGCTCAAGCTAAAAAGGTAAGCGAGTAAGCCACAATATTGAAAAGTTGTATTAACAGTTAAAAAGTAAAAAGTAACTGAGCTTACTGAATCCAAGCTTTGAGGAAGTCAGTAACTAGCATTTTAACTAGAGACAAGAGACATCTCAAATAAAACTCAGGAAGTCTTTTAAAAAAGACAGCCCAACATCCCTTGATTTCATCAAAAATTTACTTTAGCACAAAGCAATCTATAAACACTAGCCTCTGAACTATAAGGGGAGATGCTGTTGGCGAAAGTTAAAAATGTTTGTTAAACTTAAGTATGCCTTCCCAGGTACCTTTAACATAACTAACATAGAACCAAAAAAGCACGGAGTACCAATGTCAGTTTTACTATCTGTCTATGGAGCAGTTAATTCCCTCTTCTATGAGGATATCCTTCTTTGATTTCTAACGAAAAAAAAAAAAGCCCCAAGAAAGAGACATCTGAAATATCAGAATACCAGCATGCTGCCAGCATCACCATCTCAATACAGCCGTTTATCACACGTAAGATTTGCACGAGTTTCATTAGCTAGTTCTGTGGACAGCAAGTAACCAAGAACTTTGTTAACAAGGTATTCCGAGTACCTATGTCGATTCCTCGCCTTAGCACTTTCTTGTCTGCCTCCTGATGGCCGATGAGATCTTCCACCCAATGGATGTAGTTCAGGCGCAAAGGGACGGTGGGGATGAGCCTTTCCAAGGGGATGTCGATCGTCAGCCCAAAATCTTCCTTCAGGAGGGTGCACGTCAGGGCCCGCACCGCCTCGGGGTCCTTGAAGTTGAGGCTACAAGGCCCAAAGG